TACTGCACATGTGTTAATTATTTAATATATAGCTAATAAGGCTTAGCTCCCTTGACTAGCCCATATCTATTTGGGGCCAAGTTCTTATGATTTGAAGATTAAAAAATTGAAAATGAGAGAAAATTAGCTCTAACTTTTCCTTTTCATTTAATTTCAACATGAGGAGAACTTAAGAATCTTCAAGCCCGATATTTATAAAGTCTGAGTTTATGGTAGCTTCAAGTGAGCCAATGTATGACTCAATAAGATTGAAGCTTTTCTGTGTGTCTTCTGGGGCACCAAGGCTATTTGATGCAGTTCAGTATGGAGTGACAGACCCTTCACATTCTGCAGACAGCATAGGGTTAAATAAAAAACAGATAGTCGCCATTTTGTACCAGCTCTGCTATGGCTTGAGTGAAAAGTGCAACTGGTTTGAATGTGACGATGCACTCGTCCTCAATGACTATCACCAGAATCAACAAGGTTTTGTGCTGAGCATCTCATAGGGAGCTCCTGCAACAGGCAAAAGGCAAATGAAATTTTCCATAACTTGTCATCTTGCAAAACCAGGAGCATCAATTGCAACTTGTGCAGCCTATGATAGATGACTATATACTACTACTGTGTATACACAGCCAAACTAACATTGGCAAGCCAAGTGCTCCTAAATTAATGTGCACAAACACTGAATATATGAGACCCAGAGTATCCAAAGAATTATTTCTATCAGAGAGTGAAAAGTTACCCCTATGGCATTTTGTTGTTGCCCACAACTAGCGATACCCCTTTAGATATTAAGGATTTCTAAAGAGTGATGGATACGAATTTATATTCAAGAAGGAAAGAAATCTTTTGGATAGAAAAGCAATAATGACATTTATGATTTTTGTAAGCGTACAAATACATTGTATGTGATGGAGCTAATTCTTATGTGGATGCCAATGCAAGGAATCAAATTCAGGGATTTCATGTCCAGTGTAGTGTGTGCTTCAAACAGGAATGGCAGTCTGAGTCCAGCAAGTGTAAAGATGAACAAGGGAAAGAATTGTTTTGCGCTTGAACTTGTGCTAGTGTCAAAGTGGGAGTAATATCATAATGGTCATATGAAAATGCATTAAATCACACTTATCATATTTTATAGTAGGGCAGGGAAACGAATGCACACATGTGTATTTTCATATTTTATATTGATTTCAGTTATGTTTCGATACATAATGTAAACATTTTAAGCATAACATTGAAATTCTTTTAGGCGCCAATTTTATATGTATAAACAAATCATCATAGAATAATTATCAGAATAAAATCATCTTCCAAAATGGTGAGGGTTCTTGTCAATGAATCTGAGAGCTTACAGTGCATGATTATTAAAACGCAAATTCGTCAGTGTTCCCCCCCTTGGATGCAAAATCAAACATTCAAGAATGAAAGAGTGTTCGGAAACAATGCTTTTACAAATAAGTTTTGTTGGGATATACTTTTACATGTTCACGAAAAATCTGAAAACAAGGTTGAAAAGGACAAGAAAAATTTGTCTATCTTCAACGAAATTTTAGCAAATAATATTTCACAATCCACTGCCCCGATCTCTTAATCTCCGAGAATAAGTAATCGCCAGAGAGCACCAATGTGAACCAGAAAAGCAAATTTTCGAAAATGGAAGGAAACATCCAGCTACGGCCTTACTTGTAAGAGTAGGAAATTTGCTTGTTGATTTCATGCCGCTAATATATAAATAGTATCAAAATACTCGAACTTCCCCCCTTTGAATTAACCATTATAAGTGAAAATACGGAGTGACCGAAGGAGAAGTTTAACCTGTTTAGTCGCTTGTGTGGGATATGTAACTGGATCTCGCTGTACGGTAAGCGTCAAATACTACAAAAATACGGGGGTCACATAAATTACGTTGAATTCAGGCTGCTATAATTTTAACACATAACATTCGATGATGCTGCTCCACATTTCACAAAGTAAATGAAGGGGTATATCTTACCTAAATGCTAGGCAGCTCTGCAGATCATGAACGAAAACCCAGAAATCCGTGACCGCTTGAATGTCAACAAATCAACATATCACAACAAACGACCTCGTGAAAGCTCTATCTGCTTCATCAGAGGAGCCAAATGGATGAAAATTAACCAGCTAAATGGTCCTTCTCTCATACATGACACTTCAACATGGCTTAACCAAAGTATCCAAACTATAAGACATGTCTGCTGTTGACTGGGTATGCAAAAAATTCTCCCTTGAAAGTGCTTCAGGACAGCTTTCGGCCATTACGATTTGCTCTCAACAAGCTAGCTTGACACATGCGCAAACGTTACCACTTGCTGTTGGGATTTGTCAGGATATTCTGAAAGAACAATGTCCAAGAGGCCTTCTTGCCAAAAATGAGCATTTCGGGCAAATTTTCTCTGAGATCGTAGCCCAGTTATGCTTAGAAAACTTCATACAAACCCTTCTAAATTTTTTGGGGTCGATCAACTAAGGGGTATAGTACTTCAACGGCTGTTGTGAAAAAAAATACGATTTGTAAACTAAAGCTTCACTCCTAAGGAATGTCCTGAAAAAATTTGAGGGTGTTACATGCACTAGAAGACCTAGAACCACTTTTTTAAATTTTCTATACATTTGTCTGTAAGAAAGTCCCGGGAAAATTACACACAAATGTATGGAAAATCTTAAGAAAACCTATGGAGAAGTGTAAGCGCAGGTACGCCTCCAAAATTTCTTAGTACAGTCCTTTGCTTTGTAGCTTTAGTTTACAACTGATATTTTTTTCAGTACAGCCGTTTTACGGAAATTATTCGACATTAGATTCTCATACAAACACTGTAATTTCTCACACGTTTGCTTACTCGTCAAGATGGCATCGAAAACCGTGAATGAATTTCCATTGCAGTAGAGTTGAAAAGAATAATCTCACACAGAGAGTGCACATTCGAAGAAGCTCGTTCGAAATCGAGATTTTGTGGTGAAATTTGCTCATCTGACATAAATATGCATCAGGGCTATTTTGTGTTTTTCATTCATGATGCCCAGAACCCACTTCTTTAGTAGCTATTATAAACTTAGTTGCCCTGTATAAGGCCATTAAAACAAATTGTTGGATCCCATTTAAACACTTCATACACTAATTGTCAGGGGCACCCAACGAGGATATAGTTCAAAAACACTTAACATAGCATTGTTGAACGTATTTTACTGTTTCAAACGGTAGATATAGGCACATTTTTATCCCCTAAAAACTTTTCATCTGTTCGGATTTCGTAGCTGAAAGTCTAGTGACCCAAAAATTATAGGGATAAAAACTTACCTTCTCGAAAATTTCAGCCAGGAAAAGGCTCCCGAAAATTCTAGGTTGCCTTTTTTAGGGTCAAAATCCGTTAAAAATGGGTAATTATACCATTTTGTAGATGTTCGAAAATCCTAGGAGAGGCAGGCAAGCAAGAAATTTTACAACAAATGCTCCGAAAATTCTAGATCTCAAATCGTCTTCCGAACAGATATTTTCCCGAAAATTGCCGTTGGGTGCCCCTGAATTGTCGAAAGAGTTAAAATTTGAACGCTTCATGGCTTATTGTTAAAAGAGTTAGCGCCGGTCTGCTGAGCAGGAGGTGGCGGGTTCAAACCCCGGCCGGACCAACACTCAGGGTCTTAAAAAAATAACTGAGGAGAATGTGCTGCCTTTGTTATGACATCTACAAATTGTTAGACATTCTATTTTTTTTTTCGGACAAAAAAGAAAAACCGTAGGCCGCGTCTCACAGCTGTTTCACTGTTCCGACTCTTGTGGGACGTGAAGGAATCCACAATGCTGTTCGAAAAGAGTAGGGGGCGTAGACCCTGGTGGTGTGGTACAACCTTTCATCGGCTAGGTGGGTAATGAACGGGTTGATATCAATTGGGACGCTAGTCCTGTTTCATCCCCTGTCACCGTGTTGTGACACCGTGGCGAATTCAATAATTAAAGTAAAGTTCAATAAAGAGATAGATTAAAGCATTTATCTGCGTTGCGGCTTTCAGAAAGCTTTTATGTCTACAGTTTCCTATTACCATTAAAACTTCCAGGAAGGTAAGATGGAGCTTTTTTTTTGAAGTTTGAAATACACGTTAATTCAGTTTCATTCGGTTTCAGGCATACTTGGTTACAAAATTAACTTTGACACTAATGGTGATGCAGAGTTTAACCTGACGTTGCTGGATACGCAGCCGATAGGTAAGCGGATGTTGATTATGGCTTTTTCCGGGGCGTCTGGGGCGTCTGGGGCGTCTGGGGCGTCTGGGGCGTCTGGAAGGATATTCCTAGCTCTGTTGCTGTTATTAAATATTTACGGGTAAGTATACACAGATGATCCGCCCCTTTCCCCCGAACAACGAGGATGTTAACAACGATAATAACAATATCAGCCACAACCAAAATGGTTGTGAAATCTCCAACTGAATTGAAAATTTGACGCAATAACTTTTTTTCTTGATGGTGGATCGTTCCGTTCTCCGTTTTAAAAAATGTCACTAATCTATCATTTCATTTTCATTATTATTATCATTATCATCATTATCATCGTTATCACTATTCACCATAATTATCATAATTATCGCTATCATTGTTATCATCATCATCAGCCAGCCGAAATATTGTTACAAAAAACAATACACGTTGTTTTAAATCAGCTTTGCAGTAGTCTTTGGACTTCTCGTTCTTGGATCATAATTATTATCGTTTTCATTGTTACTATCGTTTGTATCATCGTCATCATCATTATCATACAAACATTAACCACAAAGGACTGCAATCGTTATCATCATAATTATCATTATCATCATCATCATCATCGTTATTATCATCATTATTATCATCATTATCATCATCATTATCATCATCATTATCACCATTATCATTATCATCATCATCATTATCATCATTATTATCACCATTATCGTTATCATTATCATTATCATCATCATTATCATTATCATCATCATTATTATCATCATTATTATCACCGTTATCGTTATCATTATCATTATCGTTATTACTTTACAGGCAATACAGATTGGAGCGAGAACTCAAACGTCTCTTGTGGAAGATTGACTACAACGATCTATGTTTTGAGAAGAAAACAACCTCTGTCTCTTCTTTGGGAAGCAACTCGGTAAGAGGGTTGGCAATAGGCCATGCGTCATCCAAAGAGTTCTTTTAAATTTTAAGGCACATTTATGTTATTACGTTTTTATTACTTTTCCCAAAGCAAAAAGAAACTGAACCCGAATTACAGGCACCTCTTGTTAATGATGAGGAAGATGATCTTTTCAAGTGCACAGCCATTGCTGTTTACAAGGTAATTTGTTCTGCTAAATTATAACCCTTTAATTTTAAAGGTAGGTTGAGTTTGATCGTCCGGGTGAACGAAGTCCTGAATAGGACTGTTGTTGTCGACAGTGACTGACGTTTCAGCAACCTGTGCGGTAGTCATCTTCAGAGTCAAAGTGAGTTGTATCACGTCAGTTGATGGTATTATACTCTGGTTATTGATCTGAGTGATCAATTACGTCGCGATGTTATTGGTCGTCTGTCAGTTAAGCCGTGATGTTATTGGCTATGAAGACTCGTAATCAGTAATTGGCGCGTTTCGATCCGATCAGTTATTGGTGCGTCTGGATCCGTGCTTTAATTTTAGGCGAACAGAAACATGAGGCTCTGCTTGCCTTGAGATACATGTATCTCTAAAAGCAATCTTAGCTTTTCGTCACTTTAGAAGCGAGAAAGGAACTGGGACAGTTACACAAGGGACAGGAAAATAAATGGCGAATACGCCACTTCCACATTTCCCAAAATGCACCGTATCCCCCCTCCGCACCCCTCCCCCCCCCTCCCCCCCCAAAAAAATTGCATAAGCATTATTTTCAATTTCTCTTGGGACGGCTGTAGTAACCAGGAGAAATGAAAAACATAGGTTATGCAAAATTTGGGTGTGTCTGTGTGGGGGGGATGCATTATGGGAAATGTGGAAGTAGCGTATAGCTGACTGGCGCGTCCTTGGTAGCGATCCCAGAAACAACTGCGGTACACATTTCGACACCAGTCCTCTTCTCGTTTCTTAAGTGGCGAATAACCTGGGCTGCAATAGGCTAGAACATCATGAACAAGAATACTCAGCTCCTACTTTGTCTGGCATAGAGTGGAGGTTTTTGGATCGTAGTCTAGAAAAGAGTTAAAAAAAAAAAATTACAATCGAAGATCATGTGGTAGCGTCAAAACTTATCTGGGGGACGTTGGCATTAAAACATTCCACTACAAGCTTAAAAACATAATGAGTCTTTATTGTAAGGTAACCTGGTGGCAGTTAAGCGTTTGGCAAAGAAGAGCGTGGATCTCACAAGACCAGTGCTAATGGAACTTAAACAGGTACTCCGAGATTAATCTGGAAGAAACCAGAATGGCCGTTCTATAAGCACTTGTCAGCCTTCTAAGTCGGGTGGTGATCATTTTATTTCAAACTCTAGTCTCATTGATTTCATTTTAAATATATACTATGGTTATCAAAATTTTGTACAGTTCCAGCAGTTTCTCTGTTTTAAAAAATGAATTTACAACTTTCGTCACTTGAAATTGTTTTCCTTCTATTTATGTATCGGTCTGGAGTATTTTCATTTGACGCTTTTCAGGCCTTGATTGACATGAATGATGAGCACGTTACTCGTGCAGTATATTATTGAAAGGGTTGGGGGTACTGTCAGTGAACGACCTCGAAACATCTTAGAATTAAAGCCAGCAAATTTTTCACTAAATTGCTTTTCCCGCTTTGAGGGTAGCTATGTCCAGAAACTCTACTAATAAGAGTCTTGCTCTTTATGATATAATTCGCTCCCCATGTAGGCGAATCCTAGACAGTCTCGATCTTGAATTTTGGATTTCACGCCGTGGATTCCGGATTCCAGGTACTGGATCCCGAATTTTTTTGTCAGTGATTCCTGATATTTTCAATCGTTAGTGGGATTCTAGTCTGCTACACATCCGTAGCAGACTATTGGGATTCCGGACTCCTTGAGCTGTATTCCGCATTCCAGGAGCAAAAACGTCCCGGATTCCAGATTCCACAAGCAACAATTTCCCCTATTTCGGAATTTGGATTCCCTTACATGGGGGGACATAACAGACATCACAAAGTGTCCCTTGCCCTAATTCTCACCAAAATGCAAGCAATTCTGTCAAACATGACGTCATATCGAAAATACAAATCATTTTGTCCAATATGAAGTATCCAAGGTCCGAGTTGTGCATTTCTGGACGTAACTGGGATTATTTATTTCAATTTTTTCTTTTTCAGATGAGAGAAATAAGGCATGATAACCTGACCCCTTTCATTGGTGCTTGTGTGGAGTCAGTCTCCAGATATTTGCGTTATTTCGCAGTATTGCTCCAAAGGCAGTCTTCAGGTAAGCGTGTGACAAAGTAGGCCTACGAAATACAAACTTATGTGAACGATAACGCGTTTCGATCTTGTGTAATAG